ACAAAGTTATGGGCCTTACTATGTTAGTATGTGGTTTTTCCCTTAAAAGTGTAGAGACCACTTGGGCCCTCTTTTTACACCTTTTCAATATTTGACTACAACCTCCTTTAAAAAACTATTTCACTACTTGTTTCTTACATGTCCACCTCTTTATGCCTCTTTCAAAATTAACCAGACACTTGGCAGTCTTATTTTAAAATTTAAACTTTTATAAAACTTATTTCTCATGTTAAGATGCATTTTTTATCTTGACATGAAATTACAACACTCAGTAATTAACTAACTCAATCAAAAATCCATCACTGATAATATATTACATGCCTTGTTCATCTACTTGGAAGAACCAAGGCTCTGAAAGATATTTTTATAGTAAGCAAAAGGATTTTCTTTGGGAGGCATAATTGGTTTCACATAAGGGAGATCCTGAAATTCACTACTCCATTTCTCAAGCTTGGGGCATTTCTCAAAGCTAAATAGATGAAGGCCACAAGCTTCTTGAATTATTAGCAGCCAGAAAGCAACGTACACAGCAGCGATGTCCATAATCCCAATTGAATCTCCATGGAAGAACTTGCCTATAGCTGAGTGTTCATAAAAAATGCCAAGAGAAGCTTAGTGACTTTGCAATTATGAACTCAATTACCAAAATTTCTGCAAAAAAATCAGAGAGTTTGCTTACCTTATCGTCGATGCACTTGGACCAAGAAGACAAGGCTGCATGTGTAATGTCCTGAATTTTATTGGGCCTAAAATAATAAGACAATAAATAAATAAATATATATATATATATATATAAAATAACTAAAGTAATTAAATTTAATAAATATTTGAAACTAACTTATTTATATATATATATATATATATGATATTATAAGTCAAATAATCTTGTTAAGTTTTAAAAGATATCAGATTATTCTAGAATTATCTTTAAAGATATTATAAAAATAATAATAACTAATGAAAAGGAAATTAGTTTAATTTTATAAATCAATGGGTTTAAATTATAACCTTGAGAAAACCCTACTTTCTATTCATTCAGTTCCTCCAGTCCTGATGCTGTCGAGTTCTCTCCTGATCACCGATAATTTTCTTCCTTTCATTCTTCTTGTCTTTCCATTGGCCATCTTGTTTCTAGTGTACGCAAGTCACCATCAAAGCATCAACTCACAAATATAGTTATGTATGTGTGTGTGTGTATTATTTATTGACACACGCACACATAATATTTCAATAACACACACACACACGCAATATTTCCACTCACCCATTCTTCTTTCTTGAAATTTGTCTTTTTCTAGCTTGGTAACCTCTTTTACCTTTTGATGTACATCTCGCACACATGCGAATAGTGCCATATCCGTAGCCTCTTTGATCTTCAGAATGAAGAGACTCATCTAAGACTTAAGGATTTGTTCGAATTAATTTCTTTAAATTACTCGATAGAGTTTTAATTAGTATTTCTCATAGAAAACACGCACCACTTGGAAGCTGCGGCTTTGCAACGCTAATAGAGATGTTATGTCAAACCAAATTGTGTTGATGCCTATATGTACATATATAATATAAATATAATATGAATTTTACATTAAAAGAAAATATAACATGATATTTATTTTCTTCAATAATTAATTAAAAAATTATATAGTTTTAAACGAGACGACTTTTGGCCTTTGGGGTAGCTTCAAGATTTTAGAATAATTTTAGAATAACCTTATGATAGTCTTAGGATAATTTTAGTGACTTTGAATTTTATATTAATATCTTTGTATGATGTGATTTTTGTAGACTCTATCTGAGATCTTTTATTTGCTTGGATTTTTTTGTTGTGGGACTACTTGTTAGCTCGAGGAGAATAGGTAACTCGAGGTTTTTTCATATGTGTGAATGCTTTGTGTTTGATAACGAATGCGTATAATCATAAATTTAATTGTAGAAAATTTATATGTTACTTAAATTCTGCCAAATATGCTTGTAGCTCAACTATATATTACTGTTAGTATTTCTTTTCAAGCATGCTTGTAAATACATATTAATAAATTTTATTTAATGGAAATGGTATATATTATTTAAGAGTGGTTTATTTCTTTCAAGCATGCTTGTAATTTGAGTTGATCGAATGAGATATTTCTATTTCTTTTCAAGTATGATTGTATACGATGTAAATGTTGTATATGTGCAGTATGCATTAGGGGATGGGTTGATGAGGAGATGACGATGTTGATGTATATATGATTTAGTGACCACATGGTTTGCCTATACTGCACACAAAGTAGTTAGCCTTTTTCAAAGCCCTGTTCTTCAATACTTACCTAATCGGGTTTGTAAGGAAATGTGGAACAGTGACATCTCCTGATTAAGGTTTTTCAAGGAGGAGAGCCATAGTTTGAGCTTGGGCTCTGTACCTTTGGCCATGTATATCTCGAGCACTAGATAAGCTTGGTTAGTCCAGCATGTGGGCTAAACGGCCACACCATATTTAAGCCTATGGTTCCAATTAGCGGAATAAAGGTGGATGGAGTAATAAAGAAGATTTTTGGTATTGCATGTCGACATGTTACGAGCTATATCCTATGAAATTCTTATGTTATAACTGAATAATTCTCATGAACTCACTTGTATATTAGTTATATGATTGTGTGGTTGTAGTTTGTACATGTATGATTAAATTTTGGGTTACTGAAACGTTAGTACCACCCCTTTAACATTTTTCAGGTGAAGGCCTGAATAGGAATCAAAGGAAGGCGGCGGAGGAATAAGCCTTTGGTTCTTGTACTCCTCGCAGTACATGCAGGATTATATTTACTTTTTGTCATGACTATATGACTTTTTATCTTTTTTGGACTATGTTTCTTTCTTTCTATATGTTTTTATTGTTATTGGATGGTAGTCCACCATAAACTGGTTTGATTTGAGATTTCTAGAATTTGGTTATATTTAATTATGATGTCAAAAAAAAATTTTATGCTTAGAATTAAATAAAGTGAATGGAGCCTTTATTCTTCAACAAGTGTTTGCTAAGTATCTAGATAGTATGATAGGTGTTATAGCATGTTAAGGATCAGAAGGCAAGGTGGAATGAGATTTCCAGTTCTCATCAATATATTGAAGAATCACAAGAGTCACATATGGGCTTTTATGAACGAGCATGGAGACCTCTTCTTGTGAACTAGGTTATATTTACTTTGAGAAGATGATCACTTTTATTGGTGGGTGACTCATGAAGGTATTCATATTCCACTCCCTTAAGTTATAGAGCTATTTCTACACTCGTCATCTCTAAGCTACCCACGATTTCAAAAAGCCTCACTTCTTGCTTTTGAGCCTTGGCTACATACTTTATCTCTTTGCTGAAGACCTTGTTTGTGAGTGTGTGACGAGCACAAGTCCAAAGAGAGAACGTATCTCAAAAGACTAGTCTATTAGGTGAAAGAGTCCATCACACTTATAAATCTCACACCACTTGTGAGGTTTTTCAATGTGAGACTCATGATAATGCCACCCATTAGAGCTAACGTCCTTAACAATTCCACACCATGACATTTTACTTGACTTTTTGTTGGTCAAAACCCTTCGTAGGTAACTTTTTCTGTGATGCTGGCCTCTTAATGAAAAAAACCAATGTCGTGACAAGGTGATAGGTTCTTCAGTTTCTTATATAGGAAGGGTGTGGGTAAAGTTGGTTAATTTTGGTGCAAATGATTAATGGTGTTAGAGAGAGACAGTCATGAAAAGGGTAGTTGAAGAAGGGTAGTTTAGATTTTAAAAGGATCCGAGATTAGACAAACAAAAAGCTCCAAGATAAAGAGACTCGTCAGTAAAGGCTGGCAGGTGGAAATTCAACACATTCATATCAAACACTTTCACTCATCGATACGCTGATTTATGGAATATTTGTTTTTCCTGTGTTAGCCCTTCATGACCCAAACAAAAAAGTGGATGATTTACTCAACGTGGTAATTGTATTATTCAAAAATCACATGTTACCTCTTTGCAACATCCATTTATGCATGTTATTGACCAAGTTAGGATATATACTTTTAAACAGAAATTAGTGTGTTTCTTTAAATATTGCACACTGGAAGCCAATTACTAATTATTATATTCCCAATTTTGGCTACAAACGCACATGATGGATTTGTAAGTTTCAATACATTTGATCAAGCACCAACCTATTGCACTAATTAAGGTGATAAGTGATGATGAAAGGAGTGTGTTTGTTTCTATTAAATTGATCAATTTTTTATTATATAATAGTATTTAAACAAAATTTCATAACTATTTATACAAAAAAGTATAAAAAGTTGAACAAACCTTAATCATAAGTCATTATATAATAGTGACTCATTTTTCGGATTACATTCCATTATTTATCATATCACATTTGTTTATTGAAATCCAAAAAAGTGCATGGCCACATTGTCAATGACCAGGGCCAGTATTGTATATTTTACAATCAGCCCACCTCTACAGAATGTGAAGACCAAGCCCAACAAAAACAACAATCTGAATCCACTTTTTTTTTTCTTTACCAATAATTGTCTTGCAACAGTTGCTGATGTCTGGGAAGTCCAACTGAACCTGTCGACGGGCTTACTTACCAAGTTTCATGATACGAGGATCATCAACAAGTCACCTTGAGGGCACAGAACTCTTTTATTATCAGACTTGATCCTGCCCACCCCCCCCCCCCCCCTTTTTTTTTCTTGCGCAACTAAGATCGTGGGTCGTGGCCATGTAATTCCAAAAACAAATGAGTAACCTTTTGTCCTTTCAATTAAAGTGCAAAAGTCGGTCCATTTACGGATCTTCAGGGATATGAAGCCGGAGCCAGATAGCAAGAGGGGAGAGGAGTCTCTCCTCTTTGTTTTTTCTCTTCTTTTTCTCTTTTTTCTTTTATATCTCTAATTTTTACTTTTTATTTATTTTATAATTTAAAAAAATTATTTAATAAAATAATAATGAATGATGAAGGTTGTTGGAAAAGTGATAAAAAAAAGGGAAAAAAGAAAAGGAGAGATCCCTCCAGGAGACCCCTCGTGCTTTCAATTCATAAAGCTCACAAAAAAGAAAATCAAGAAAGGACAACATTCAATAGAACTCGATTTGTGATATGATGACCCTAAACAAAGTGATAGTCACGTCAGGTTCTTTTGCAAGAGAAAACCCTAGTTACACATCTTATTTCGATTCCTAATCACAACACTTGATAATTTACCAACTCAAACATGGATTACTGGTAATTTTTTTGATCATCTACTTCAAACCAAAGATGCTCTGCACGCGAGCTTTGAAGAAGGTGAGGAGATTTTCCCTGTGAGGCAAAACTCCTTTCACGACAGGGTCATTCAGAATCTCTTGACCCCACTTGTCCAGCTTTGGATATTTCTCACCGCTGTACAGATCAAGCCCGCCGGCTTCTTGAATTATTGGCAACCAGAAAGCGACGAACAGAGCAGCGATGTCCACGAATCCGATCGAATCTCCGTTGAAGAACCTTCCTTTCAGCTCGTTCTCCAGAATCTTCAGAGCCTCTCTTGATTCTGCAGCACCATTTTCCCTCTCCTTCTCGTTCGGGTTCCAGGCTGCTTTAAATACTGCAGGTAAAACCTAAAATCAAGCAGCAGAACACTTGTTTAACGACTCATCATTCAAATTCCTATAGAGAAAATTAACAGAGAAAAGACAAGAACTAGCTTGAACTGTTGAATGACCTTGTCGTCGATAAACCTGGACCAGAAACGAGCCAGGGCTCTGTGATAAGGATCAGAGGGCAAGATTGGGTAGCCAGACCAAGCCTCATCGATGTATTCAACGATCACGAGCGACTCGCAGACGGGCTTCTCGTCGTGAAGAAGAACAGGGACCTTCTTGTGAATCGGATTGTACTTGAGAAGAAGATCACTTTTGTTGGTCAGTGATTCGAGAACGTATTCGTACTCCACTCCCTTGAGTTTCAGAGCAATCTCTGCTCTCGTCACGAATGGACTTCCTACGGTTCCGAAAAGCTTCACTTGTTGGTTTGAAGCCATTGATGTGGTTGTTTTCTCTAAAGAATGGAATATCAGATCTGGAGATTATGGGTTTTAATTATGGTTCGTGAGTTTCTGGTTCAGGTTCTTATGAAGCCAGATTCGGTCAATAAAGTGTTTTTTTAAAATTAAAAGTCAATATCTTAATTTTAAAATTTTAATTTTTTAAAATGAAAATTTGGAAGTGATGCAAGAGATTACATCACCACCGTCAATGCTTTTATTGGCCAACAACCATGGTAAATGCTTAATACTTAAATAATTATTATTATTTTTTATTGTTATTTTGATTAGTGACTTAGTGTGCAAAGGCTGCCTAGAGTAAAGAGTTTTCTGATTTAGAGGACAAATTAAGAGTGAGAAATTCTCCCTTCTCTCTAATTTTCTAGAGAAAAGAAGATCTATCTTCTTCCTTAATTATTTGCCTTTTAGCCTCCTTCTTCAAACTCAGTCTCCATCTTAATGAACTCTAAATTCATTCCAGACCTAAATTTCACCCTCTCTATATTAATGAATGACAAAGAGAACATGGATCCACCTGCATCCAAAGAAGAAATGGATCTGCTAAACAAAAATGTGACGAAGTTAGACGATGATATGGCTGATAAAGATTAAATCATGGTATAATCTCAAACTCTACAGAGTAAAACAAACAAACAACTTGTGAATGAACAAGTCTCCCCTGCTATTCAACCGATGGAAATCCAAAAATGGAATTCAACAAACAATGTTTCTACCAGTAATGAAGACATGATTAAGGGAATTCCCTAACCTCCTATAAAGATTCCCTAATCAGTTATAATGGATGCTATGAAATCAGAGAAGCAAAAGATACTAAGTATATTAATACCACACTTGCCAAAGAGTTAGATAAGGAATGGATTTCTTCATAATCAATAAAGAATCTCATGGATCGCTACCCAATGGTTTCGATATCAAATGAAGAATGGAAAAATATTTGATTACCCTGGATAGATGCATTGGTGATCAACACCCTTGGCATCCAAATTCATCCGAGATCCCTCAAGCCAAGATTAGTTAAAATGTGAAATCTTAAAGACTTTAAGCTGATTGATTCAGTAGACAGCTATTATATCATGAGAATTAAAAACCTTAAAGTATATGAGCATATTTTAAATAGTGGTCCTTGGACTATTTTTGATCACTACATCCTTGTCTAGCGATGGTCATCAAATTTCAATCCTAACACTAACTCTCTAAGTAAGATTGCTCTACAGGTTAGGCTTTAAAACGTCCCAATTCAATGATATGATAAAGACATTCTCTGGAGGATGGGAAATTGTATTGGAAAGACTCTTAAAGTAGATACAAACACACTTTTAGAATCAAATTCTTAGGAAATAAGTAGGAAAACAAAGAGAGGTAAATTTATCAGAATTAATGTAGAAATTAATTTGCAAAAAAACTTGTTCCAAGGCTGCTTATCAAAGATGAACTCTCTAATATGGAATACGAGAGCCTCAATCTCATTTGCTTTAGGTGTGGCTGCTATGGTCACAATAAGAGCAATTGCCCCCATAATCCAGAAAATTTGCAAAAGAAGCAAAACAGGAAGGAAGCACAAAATAAGCAATAAATCAATCAAACTAACCCATACAACCAGCCAGTATCAACTTCTAATGAATCATCAAAAATCTTACTGGAAGAGGATTATGGTGAATGGAATAAGCCTCAAAGGCCTTTCAAATCATGTTACACAAGGCACCCAATGGGTAGAAACTTCGAGCCTTCAACTAGCAGATTTTCCAATCAGTGGCATGGACACCCTACTCAAGCAAACTGAGGTATAAATCTCTCCTCTAAATCTTAAATTTGATGTTTTATCTAACCTTGAGAAGGTCAATGGCAGCGAAATCAAAAAAAGGCAGTGAAGAAATCAAGCAAAATAAGCCTCCTATGAACTACCTTAGTAATACTGTCAGAAAAGTATAGAGAAGGAAAGACCTCTCTGGGTCTAAAAGAGTGAGACAAAATGATGCAAATGATGAACCCACACAAAGATATTGTAATGCAGAAGACACAAATGATTTATGTGCTGAAATAGAAAGACGATGGATGAGAAGAATAAGAAAAAAGTAAACTAGGCCTAGTTTCTTTTGGGAAGGCCTAAAAGCCTTGAATGATGATTTATTAAAAGAATAAGAGAAGCCTAATAAAGTATCAAGCAAGCCCAATAAAAGAATCCACCTTGTTGTAAAAGGAAGCAAAAGGAACATGGGCTCCTCTTCTCAACCTACTAGCACAACCAATAATGATAAACCTAATAATGATACTCAAAACATAGAATACATATTTTCATCGAATCTAAATGTCTGGAATAATACCAACACACCTAAAAAAATTCAACCACTAACCCAAGACCAAAATAAACCTCCAGACCCAAATTCCTTTCCCATTATCATCCCCAAGACACACTTCAGTGATGACATTATAATGGCAAACCAAAACAAAATTTCAAGGGAACTAGAAAATATCATTCTTGTGGGTGATCTAGACAATGAAGATATAGAGGATGATGTTCTTGATGAAAATTTTAAAAATAATCCTTTCAATGAAGATATAGAAAATGATGACTTCAACGATGATTAGGCTGAGGGAATGCATTCAGATATTTACGGTTAATCCTTATACAGGTTCTTCTTTCCTTTTATCTTTTTCTATGAATATTATTTGTTGGCATTGTAAGGGTTCTTGTGCTAAAAGTTTTCCTTCCAGGATTAAAAAAATTGATAAATACTATAATACTCATATTTTTATTCTGGATGAGACTAGAGCTAATAGTGCAAAAGCTAATAAAATTGTCAGGAAATTGGGATTCTTTAATTGGATTCGTGTTGAAGCCATTGGATATGCTAGAGGCATTTGGCTGATTTGGAATAATGATATAGTGAAATTAAGTACATTTACTCTAATGTGCAGCTCCTACATTTCAAAGTCACAACTCCCTATGATAATTCTTCCTATCTTTTATCTTGCATTTATAGGGACTTTAACCCTTGCAATCGTGACCATCTTTGACAAACAATCATTAATCTGTCCAGGAACATAAATGAACCTTGGCTTCTTGTTAGTGATTTTGATGCTTATCTATCTCGCGAAGACAAATGTGGTAGTAATGGTTATAATTAGAGATCAATGAAACTCTTTAGACAATGCATCAACCTTTCTAGTCTCTTGGATCTTAATTACACCAGAGAAAGATTTACTTGGGAGAAAGGAAATATTAAGGAAAGACTTGAATAGGCCTTTTACAAGATTGAATAGAGACTTTCCTTTACTAATACCAATAACTATCATCTTCTTAAATATAGCTCAGATCATCAGCTGATTAGAATTAAACTTGATGATAAGAGTGTTACGAACTAGCGAGCTACACCTTTCAAATATCATGCCACATGGTCTCTAAAAGATTCCTTCAAACATCTAATTAATGAATCATGGCATAGTAAAGATTAGATAGAATGGATCTCCAAATTCATCGAGCTAGCATCCGAATGGAATGAAAACAATATTGGCAGTATTACTACTAAAAAGAGGAGAATCCTAAAAGGACTTAAAGGGATAGACTGGAAAAGGAATTTCAAAGACAGTTACTTCCTTAAAAAATTAGAGAAATCCTTTTGGAAGGATTACAATAAGTTTTTCCTCCAAGAGAAATTAATTTGCTACTAAAAATCCAGATGCAAATGGTTGAAATGGGGTCATCAAAACACAAAATTTTTTCATGCCTCTACTATCATCTAAAGAAAAAGAAATCAAGTCATATCTCTTAAAGATGATAATGGCAACTGGATTCACAAGCAAAACTCCCTCACAAACTTGGCTGCCTCTTACTTCAAACCTAAGCTCATTACTGATAGAACTTTTCCTCCACTGTCTTATACCCAACTACTCTCCTTCCATAGAGAATCTACTAAAGAAGAAATTGAGACAGTTTTTTTTTTACATAGGAGCTTTCAAAACGCTTAATCCTGATGGTCTTAATGCTAATTTCATCTATACCCATTGGGAAGATCTTAAGAACAACATTTTTAAATTGATTAAGAAGGCTTTTAGGGATCTAAACACTATCACTGAGGTTAATGACACCTTCATTACACTTATCCCTAAATTGGATCACCTTACTTGCATGAAAGATTTTTATCCAATATCTATGTAATATGAGCCATAAAATTATCACTAAAATCATTTCTAATCACCTCAAAGTTTGTATAAATCATCTTATTATGGACAACCAATGTAGTTTCATTTAAGGAAGACAAAGCAGTGATAACTTTATTATAGCTCAAGAAGTTATACATTCCATAAGAATTAAAACTGAAAAAAGAGGCTTCATGGCTCTCAAATTAGATCTTGAAAAGGCTTTTAATAGACTATTCTAGAACTTCATTGATTATACTCTCCAAGCTATTACAATAAATTCCCATTTAAAAAAAATCATCATAGTAGCCGTCTCTTCTGCACGCTTGAAAGTCCTTTAGAATGGAGAACCATCACATGAATTCAAGCCTTCTCGAGGTATTAGGCAGGGAGATCTTCTCTCTGCTTATCTTTTTTCACTTTGCATTAAAAGATTAAGTCACTGTATTTTTAGTAGTATAGATAAGTATGATTGGAAACTTATTAATCTAACTACTAATAGACCACCTATTTCCTATCTTTTCTTTGCTGATGACTTATTGCTCTTTGCAGATGCATCTATTCTTCAAGCTAGGATCATTTAAAATTGTCTTCACAATTTTTGCAATACCTCAGGATAAAATCAACAATGCTAAATCAAAACTCTATTGCTCCAAAAATGCCAACATTAATAGAGCCTTACAATTCAACAATGAATTAAGAATCCTACTTACTAGGAATCTTGGTAAATATTTTAGGATTCCCATTCTGCATGAAAGAGCTTCTAAATTAACTTTTGCTCCTCTTATTTAAAAGACTTGTTCTCATTTATCTTCGTGGACAAGTTCCTATCACAATATTGCAGAAAAATCTATTCTCATAAAGTCTGTGCTATATGCCATTCCTAGCTATCTTATACAAAATAT